AAGCTTGATTCAGACTTCCTTTTGCAGCCCAGATTACTCCTCACGATGGTCGTGAGAAAGAATGCATGTTTACGCCACTGGCTTCACTTTTCAGACGCAGAGGCTGCAGTCATCTTTTATGTACAGTCTGTGGTTTTATTACTTGTAAAGATGTACTTATGCCCTGATTTTCTGCGTTTCCCTGCTGCTGTTATCAGCTGTCATCAGACCATTTATTGTTTGCCTGAACTTTCACAGATCCGAACAGAGCTGGAGATCCAGATGGTGTGCAACCTGAGGGAGTTTAAAGAGTTCATAGACAATGAGATGATTGTGATCCTGGGACAGATGGACAGCCCCACGGAAATATTTGATCACGTCTTCCTGGTGAGACAATTGGGCTTTGATTCCATTAGCCTGTGAAGGTTTGTCATGTCAGACTTGAGGTTCAGTAAAAAGCTGCATCTAACCTTGTTTTGTCTTTCTAATTGTAAATAAAAACTTAGCGCGTGCTGTTAATGACTGGACCTGTGTTGTTTATAGGGTTCAGAGTGGAACGCTTCTAACCTGGAGGAGCTGCAGAACAGTGGGTAAGAGATCAGTCACTTAAGCTAAGATTAAAATTGATGTATTAAATAAATTTTCTCGTTAAAGTCGATTGAAACGAGTAGCTCGTTTATCATCGTCACATCCATGAGATCACACTGACACGCCTCCTCCCGTCTCTCCTCCAGAGTGCGCTACATCCTGAATGTGACCCGGGAAATCGACAACTTTTTTCCAGGAATGTTTGAATACCACAACATCAGAGTGTACGACGAGGAGGCCACCAACCTGTTGGAGTACTGGAACGACACGTACAAGTTCATCACCAAAGCCAAGTAGGCTTCTACACACACACACACACACACACACACACACACACACACACACACACACACACACACACACACACACACACACACACACACACACACACACACACACACACAGTTTAAGCTCCTCTTTCTCACTAGTTCATGTGCTTCAACCCTGCCTCTTTCCCTTCCCACTTTAGGAAAGCCGGTGCCAAGTGTCTGGTTCACTGTAAGATGGGCGTGAGCCGCTCTGCTTCCACAGTGATAGCCTACGCTATGAAGGAGTATGGCTGGAACCTGGACACCGCCTTTGACTATGTGAAGGAAAGACGGGCCGTCACCAAGCCGAACCCTTCCTTCATGAAGCAGCTGGAGGAGTATCAGGGAATTCTGCTGGCAAGGTGTGCTCTCATGCAGAAACATGTACAGTTCCTTAGAAGGAATTTGGAGCTAACGAACTCTTCTCTCCCTCTTGTTCTTCAGCAAACAGAGGCATAATAAGCTATGGCGTTCCCACAGTGACAGCGACCTATCAGATCGCCTGGACTCGAAGCCTTCATCTCCCTCCTTGAACCGCGCTGACTCTCACAATAACAACACCTCCTCCCCGTCTGTGCATCACTTCCTGGGTGTGGCCGTGCTGCAGGCGCTCTACCCCGAGCCCGAAGACTCTCACGCGCTCTCCAACGGAGTGTGTGACTCGCTGGTTCAGGAGGTCAGATCAGATTGCGCAGACCCCCGCCTGCTTCCCCTCCCCAGACCCCGAGCAGCCACCGTGGTCCCAGAGGAAAAGCAGGGCAGCTCGGCGAGCGTGGCCATCACTGTGCCCGTCGCTCTTCCACTTCCACCACCATCGCTCCACATCCTACCTCCCACCCCTGAACTGCAGCGCGCTCACAGGGACACTCCCACACATCTGTCCTGCTCAGTGGGCAAACCAGAGGAGCTGTTCCTCATCTTACCCGACAGAAGCAGTTCAGAGGAAGTCTCTCCTCTCACTCTGGGATCCACTGACTCGGACATGATCAACCAATCATTGTCTGATTTAACGAACAACAGCCACACTCCGCTCAGCCCTGCGACTCCCACTTCCTCGCCTCCGATCTCGGCTTTCGCTCCCAGCGACGACAACAACAACAACCCGAGCGAGTTGGATACCCGCGGTGAGGCAGACGGGTCATCGACCCACAGCACGGACAGCATCGACTTCTTCAGCGCCCGGGAGAAGTTTCTGGGGCTGGCCAAAGATGGCCGACATCGGACGCTTTCAGAGCAGGCACAGCAAAGGACGTCTCTGTCAACTGACAGAGAAACAGAGGTCAGCGAAGACGAGGAGGAGCAGAGGAATGAGATGAGTCAGGTAAGGTTTCATTCAGCTGCTTCTTTCTGTTCATTTTTATTTATTTTTTTTTTTAATAGCATCTCAGTTGTACGACCACTTTTCAGAGTGACCTTTGTCATCATCATCAGCTGTAAAGAGAAAAATTTAAAAATTTCGGTCAAATCCTTTGATTTAGGAGATTTAAATGAACTTTGAATAGTATCCACGGTTTTATTTTAAAGTTTTAATCAGAGGGAAGTAAACTGGAATCTGAGTGAATGTGAGGACTGTGTGGTAGCAGATAGATTGAGCTGATCACAGTGACACCTGCTGGACAATGAGAGAATAATCAAGACCAAACCTCCTCCTATAACGAGTTGTCAGTAGTATTATGTGGATTATAAAAGAGTGTAAACAGGACTGAGCTAATAAGTCATTGCTTGGAATAAAAGCCTCACAATGGCTGTGCTAATAAAGTCTGTATCCTCTCTTTGTCTCTCAGGAGTCTGATGACAGCTCTGACAAAACCAGTCCTGACCGGATTCATCACACTCACCACGACAACGGAATATCAGTCCGCCATATTGTCACTGAGATCGAAGCCATATCACACCCCGCCGCATCTCTTCAGACTCCTTCCTCCTCCTCATCTTCTCCACTCCCTCCATCCTCTCACAGTCCTCAGGTCATCCGACCGGAACATCAGGAAGAGGGGGAGTCTTCTGAAGTCACGCACACCTCTTCGACTCCACCTTCACACCCCCAGCCTCCCACCACACTGTTGTGCGACTGGCCGGCGGGCTCCGTGCGGCGGGCCACCAAGCAGCTGGAGCAGAAGCTGAAGCAGGAACTGGAGATGGTGGCATGTCAGCGGTCTCCGCTGCATTCGCCCAGCAGCGAACAACCTCCTGTCATACTGTCCGTATCCTCCGAACACGTGCTGCTCCACTCCCCCATGCATGCTGCAGAACAAAGGATCACTCAGGGAGAGAACATGGCTGTTTCTGCTAATGCTACGTCCAAAGATGAAGAGAAGCACACGGGGTCACACAAAAGACCCGATTTCTCAGGCACAAGCGACCTCCAAGACCTTTCATGTTCCCCAAAGTCAGATATCAGCCAAGTCTCTGGTGCTATACCTGTCAGTGTGCACACATCCACAGATAGCCACACAGTGACATCATCACTGGCCTCTGCTGAGCAGTTATCAGCATCATCTCAAGATACCTCAGCCCAGTCTCTCAGACGGGGCCAGCTCCATAGCCAAAACCTGCAGGACTGTTCGAACCTAATGACTCTGGATGGCGTGACGCTGCAGGAGTCGGACACGGATGAAAGCTCTCGGGTCAGGCAAGAGGGCTGCGGCCCCGTCTGCGCTGCCCAGAAGAGGCTGGCCCGAGGCAGCCAGGAGCTGGAGAAGATTCAGCAGACGCTGAGAGAGCTGCAGGCTTTTCTTCACGAGGGCATCACCCTCGAGACGGCAGACAGTCGAGGACAAGAACTGGGGCAGCCTCAGGGGCCAAGAGACGCCATGGACACAGACCCAGAAAGTTATAAAGGGGTGAGTTTTGAAGAGAGCCCTCCAGCTCTGAAAGTGGGGCAGCAGCTCCTAGAGAAGCAGGAGCAGAGGAGTTTGTTGGAGCCAACAGAGTGGCACAGAGCCACAGAGCTAGAGGCGCGCATCCGCCAGGCGGGGCTCACCCCCCCGTCTCTCATGAAGAGATCGGCCTCCTTGGCTAAACTGGACTGTCTGGAGCTGTCGGCTCATGACCTCAGCAGCTTGGACCTGAGGACGCACAACAGAGCAACACTGCCGCACTCGCCTGACTCGCCCTCGTCGCCCCAGTCTCACCCGGACGACACATGGAAGAAGCAGAAAGTGCTGGCTCAGAGGCCGTGCTCTGAAAGAACAGGTTCGTGCAGTGATGACACATCCCCTCCACCCCTCGGCCTCTCCCCCTCCACCAGAGGGGAAAGAGGAGAACGGGAGGAGTCAGAGAACAGCAGCAGTAGCAACAGCACGGTCCCTGCATCCCGTCAGCCGGGGAGAGGACACTCGTCAAGACGTTCTCGCAAAGCTTCCGCTGAGAAGAAGCAGCAGCGAGCCGTCACTCTGCTATACAACACCATGTAACCTCAGATCAGCAAGACTGGAACACATGCGACTGAAGCTGCGCTTATGTGTGTGAAAGAGACCGCATGATGTGTATGAATGTCAGCTGTAACCCCCTGTGTGTGTTCTCTGGTGTTATGTGTATAGTATGCAAGACATGAATGATGAGCATATATTTGCATGGAAACCACTGGATGTTTGTATGAACTGGAGTTCAGGTTCGTCTGTACAGTGTCATGAATGTCCAAACTAAGACTGAACGGTGCTCATGCACTCATTTATATCAGTGTCCCCTTTTTTTTTTAAGTGTGACCCTCGCTGCCTGTTCAGAGTTTCTAAAACTCCAACCAGAGGGGCTTTTGTTTCTCAAACCATGCACTTTACTGTTTAGATGACTCTTTTTCTTTTAAAAAAAAATTTGAGACGTGTTTCTTACCCTGGGGAGGATTGTTGTTTTGCACTGTTCTCAGTAGACTTGTCTCTGTGGTTTTGTTTTCAAAGCTGGCAGACATGTCTTTATTCAGATTTTTAATTAAACCAGGACAAAGCTGATATGTTGTTTTTGTTTTTTATTATTATTATTACTTAATTGCTTTAGCAGTAAATAAAGGTGGTGAGTTTGTTTTAATGGTAGTGACTCCTTAGTTTTTCTGTTTTTAGCCACTCCCATGTAAGGCAAAGAAATGAGGCCAGCTTTTAAATATACCGCCACCTGCTGGACAGGCTGATCCACGCACTAAAACTGGATTTCATGACATCGGGTATTGCCACTACCAAGCTTCTCTTTTCGAATGACTGAAAAGCACATCCTTAATAGAAATACATTTTACCTCTCGTTTTTAACTACAACTAACCGATCTTTTAAGCACGTCGGTGCCAACTCCAGTGGGAAATGATCTCCATCAGTGTTCAGCGCAGCTTATTTCAGGCTGACATTTTACCTACTGTTTCATGTGGGTAATTAAATACTGAGATGTAGGCCACCGGAGCCCCTGCTGAGAGACCCACACGCAGACACGAGGCACAGACTGACATTAAAGGACTGAATCTGCTTTTAAAAAAAGAGAGGCTGGAGATAACTAAGACATCAAAACTCACAGGCTCCATATATGAAGACCAAAAGACTCTTTGGTGGTTTAAGTGAATCAAGAGGAAAAGCTGAGATCCCCTGACGTTTTCACCAATTAAATCCACCTCAGCAGACACAGCAGAAGGATTTTCAAATAAAATATGTGTGTGTGTGTGTGTGTGTGTGTGTTTATCATGAGGAGAGGGAATAAAAATCAGTGGAGCAGAAGAGGAGAAAGGCTGAGATTGGCATCCTTCCTCTTTGCATACTGATGCTCTGAACGCGACTTATATCAGCAGCTCTTTGCAAATTCGTTTCACATAGGCTTGCAGCTCGGTACCTTCCACAGTCCTGGTATTTTTCATAATGCGCACTGCTGGTTCGTCCTTTTTTTCTCTGTCCTGAGTGCTGTTTCTTGGAGGTTTTACAGCCTCTAATCTGCTCCCCTTTTTTTCTCCCTTGTAAGCCTAAAATAACTTCAGCCAAACAACAAAAAAAAAAAAACAACCCAGTTGGATCAGACTTCTTCAGCTCTGGGAATCCATGTCACAGGGACGATGATGAAGGTGGCAGCTGCTAAAAACGGATGAGCTCTCTCTGGTGCTGACAGACGCCGCAGCATTCCCCAATCTCGTGTGAAATAAATTGCTTTTGTCACTGTCCTCCACTGGAGAGGACCACGGAAACGAACTTAACAGTGGAAGAACTGTAGCGCGCGTGTGTGTGGTTTGGGGGGTGGTGAAGGGATTTACAGAGCATTTGAAAGGCTTAAGGAAAAAAAAATCAAATAACACATTTCTACATTGCTCTCCAAAAAAAAAAGATTTTCCTTTATTTAAATCATGTCAATTCACTTCCCAGCATACGTCATGAAAACACCGTGCTTTTTTTAACGTTTTGCAACATTTTTTCAAAAAGTAAAAAACAAAAGGAGCATTTTTTTAACTTCTTAACCCAACCGGGAAAGCTTAGAACCATGAATTACAGAAGGAAAAGAGAAGGTGGTATCCTCAGTTTGTGCTGATGCTGAAAGTTTTACATTTCTCACTTAATTAAAAAAAAAAAAACAGAGCATAAGGTGTCCCTGCTCTCGTCATCCTCCACACAAAAACAAAACAAGTCCCTCAGAGCTCATCTACATTTGCACCCTGCCAATTTCTAAGAAAAAATTTGAGGGGTGATTTTACACTGGATTTTAGTTTTCAGCTTTTAAAAAAAACTTTTGCTCAGTGAAACTTGCCGTAAGTCACAATAGACCCCCACCCCTTTCATTGGGTGCAGACCATGCTGAAATATTATAATGCACAGAAACACACTCACAAAAAAACAAAAACAAACAACCATCAGCTCATGTAAGGTGAGAAAAAGCAAATTTACAGAGAAAACTCTTCTCTAACCCACGATCCACATACAAACCTTTATTCCTGTTACTGTTTTTATTAATAAATGCTCTACTTCACATACAGTATAGTTAGTACACACCTAGTGTTCATCTGGGAGTCTCATCATTACTGTGCTCCTTGCAAAGCCCGGCGTCAGGGTTTAAAACTAGACCCCGGCCTGGGTTTCTTTTTTTGTTTTAAACTTTGTGCTCAAACTCAAACATCCATTAACAGTCATATATGTGCTTCACCCACAAGTACAGTACATCTGGATTTTGTGCAAATCAAAAAAAAAAAAAGAGAAGAAGAAGAAACACATTAGTCCATCATTTTAAAAATTTTCATTAAAAACTGAGGAAGTCTGATTATTTATCGGCCTTCAAATGAGGAAGGCGTTCTCCACGCCGCTGCGCTCTTCGATGCAGTCAGAACTGAAAACCACACGCGCTCAGTGGTGACGGGAGCGTGGGGTGAGTGTGCATTAGGTGCTGGAGCAGTGAGTTGGCCTGACACACTACATTTAGGGGAACTGTTTAGTTGACCTTATTGACCTTCTGTGCGTTGAGCTGGTTTGTTTTAAACGCACACACACACACGCACAGACAAACACGCACCCTTGCAAAACACCCCCCAAGAAATCATTAATTCGAGACGGAGTTCCTGTTAAACTGTACCGGATGTGTCGTTGGTTGTAAACTGGCACTTGTTGAGAAAGTGCCAATGTGGCAGAAGAGAGACCAGGCGTGCGTCCGTCTCTGGCTTTGTGAAGCCGGGCAGACGCAACCACCTCATGGCTTCATGGGAAAAGGGTCTGGCTGAGGCGAGGGGAGGGACGGCCAGGTCAGATGTTACCTCTAAGATGGTTTTCTTTTTAAATTTCCAAGATTTTAAGCGGACACCTGCCCTTTTCCACCCACCTCCCCTCAGTCCAAACCCCCCACCCTGGCAGGACCGCCTGGTTCAGAGGGAGGGTGTGGGGTGAGGGGCTCATTTCTCCATGAGTGACAGCTGGATGATGCGCTGCAGCTCCTCCTCCTCCTGCTGCTGCCGAAGCTCTGCCTCCTGCTGCTCCCGGGCTGAGATCTCCATGGCGATACGCAGCTGCTCGTCATAGCTGCAGGTGGTCGGCTTCTTCTTGGAGGGGGTGGAGCAAAGGCTGGTGGGGGGGCGGGGCTTGTGCTGGGGGGTGCTGCGTACAGGGGCGAGGAAACACGGGTTTAAAAACCTCCTCAGTGGGCACACAGTAGGCATCATTCATAATAAGGATAAGTCAGTAATGGTTTCACTGTGAGTCAATGCATGAATAATGAATGAGGTCTGGGTTGCCAGGTTATGAGAATCTCCTCTGATTGCTGCTTATCTTTCCATCGTGACACTTTGCTTTGTCTTTTAATCTAACGCTTCACCGGAACTTAAACCTGGATCTGTCTCGTCCTGATTCCATTTATTACCGTCTGTCATTCTGCAGATTTGATGAACGGTGGGAGAAAGCTATTATCGACTCAAATTAGCTGCAGACTACATTGTGGAGTCTTAGTAAACGCTTTATTTAAAAACAAGGTGCGACAAAGGCTTCAGAAGAGACACAGCGAGACATGCGTTCCCATAACTGTGCTCGGTTCTATCACGAAATACTAAAAAAACCCAAAACTGTTTTTACCACAGACTGTATATAAAAGATGGACACAGAAACCCTGGAGTCAAGCATTTAAGCTGTCACTGTCTTTTTTTTCCCAGCTAAGTCATTCTGAGGACACTACACACAATAGCCAAGCATTTCTCTCTGCAACCCCAATGCCAAAAAAATGCATCAAATAAAATACAATTTGGGACTCTGACGTGAAAATCTCATAGACACTAACTTTATTTATAGTGGAACACAGAAAACATGCCAAACGGTTAAACATTTTACTGCTTTAGAAAAGTATTAGCTCATGTGGGACTTGATGCCCCACAGCAACACATCTCAAAAACGTTAAGTGATGCTAAAAAGAAACAGCTGGAGGGACATTTTGCAACTAATTAGTTTAACTGGGTAGAAAAAGACAGGCAGCGTTTCTCATGAGTAAAGACGTTCACCAATTTGCCAAAATTCTGGATAAGGCAGAAAAGCAGTACTGGCCCATGATTTTGGGCCCTCGGGCAGCACTGCATTTAGAAATCAAACTTATGCTTAAGTTCATCAAGGACGATCCGCCTGCTTTCCTGGGTGTCTGACTGCTGGTCTGTTATTTACATCACTTCCTCTTTCCCACGCTGTCAAACTCGATGCCGACAGCACTGCTCTAGTGATCAGTCCTGCTTCCACTGAGCCAATCTGCCTCCACTCTGCTGAGATGTTAGCTTATTTTTCCATATCTGACATATTTTCTGTGTTCTACAGTAATATTTGGGTTTATGAGATTGCATTCTGTTCTTATTTTTACAGCTTTGCAACTTTCTCTTGGTGTCGGTCTATAGGTCCAACACTTTCCCCTCAGGTTAGAACTTTGGCTCGAGTAAACACTGCTATGGCAAGACTTGGGGAGGAGGCAGTGACGAAGAGGATAGGACAGTCTGTGAATCCAACCAGCCATCTGCAAACAGGGAATGCACCCAGAGAGAAACACTGTCTAAAGATAACAGAGGCTAAAGTCAACTACAGCACTGTCAACTGAGAAAGCAGGAAACTCTCTCAACTCTCTCATCCTCCCACCAACACCCCCTCTCTGCAAACACACACACACACACACACACACACACACACACACACACACACACACACACACACACACACACACTGGAGCTCAGATAGCAGATAGGAGAGGGGGAGAATAGCAGGATGGATAAGAGAATAGAGCAAGGAATGGGACAGGAATACAGGATGTGAGTCAAGTATGGGAGGAAAGAACCACAGGAAAAAAAAATTCACAGAGGAGTGCGAGACACTGAAGATTAACAACACATAAGAGAGCTGAGAGGAAGTCAGAGACAATGCGGTGGAGGGATGGCAGGATATAATCGCCTTCATCCTGGCACTCAAGGAGATTTATGCGGGGGCTTTTTTCCCCTCGCTGCTGACAACGAAAGTCCCGCTCTCTTTCATTCACTGACGCTTTTATCAGACTTTCTAACAAAGTCCCCAATAACAAAGAGCTTTAACTCAAACACGTGGGAGTCATTAAAAATCCCCCAAAATAAAACAAAGGCTTTCATTCTGACCTCTCGACACGACTCGGGTCGCAGGACAGAGGGTGAGTCCCCGGCTTGCTGTTGGTCAGCGCCTCCCAGATGGTCACCTGGGCACACAAAAGAGAAGGCGGCACAGGAAGTCAGTGAAGGAGCGCTGCAGGAAGCGGTGCATGCAAAACAAACGCATCCTCGTTCCCTGTAGGCAGCTTCCTGTTAACGTATGGTAGAGACGGAGCCAGCGGCCTTGGTCGTAAACTAAATGATCGATCCTGGCTGCGGTCCCACTCAAGTCCACGTACAGTTTTAATGCTACCAGTGATTAATAAAGATGAGAAGCACTTGTTAAATATAGACGTTCAAGTTTCAAATTCAGCTTCACACTGTCACAGAAATATATGGAAGCTGTGAACAAAAGCTGTTTTTTAGAAGATGACAGGATACAGTGTAAGCTAGATTTGTACAGCAGTTAAATCTGTAAAACACAGCGTGTCGGCGGGACGATCCTTTAACACCTGTCCTGCTTTGGTATTAGAGCAGTAATTAAAAGTGTCACCTTTCTCGGCGGCGCAGCGGTGGAAGCGCTCGGTACGGCTGCTGGAGACGAGAGCACAAACTGCAGCACAAAGCCTAAGCTGCAACCGTGCCCTTGCCTCCTCTGCTCCTTCCCCTTGTGTATTTCAGCTAAGAAAACTCAGAGGATGTTCTCTGACCTGTCTCACAGAGCCTATTTATACCTCACTTTCTGTAACGTCTGGAAGAAGGCCAAGGGCTATCAGGACCGAGGATCTCTGGGATTTTAAACAGCGCCGATCCTCAGGCAGCGTGCGCCACACATCAGAGCCAATTTATTCTACTTACTATAGAAATATACACACAGATATGTCATACTCCGCTGCCATTAATTACAGTAACGCGTCAGCACCATATTAGTATGGGAAAGCCGCATCTCCACTGTCTACTGTTTAAACAGACACAGAATTTGTGTGTGACATATCAGATTTAACATGTTTGGAACACATAACGAGACACATTGCAAAACATCAGTTTGGCGAGGTGCATCTCTGCAGCAGAGATGCACCTCAGAGGCTGCTAAAGATATACATGCACACAAGTGCTTCTTAATGCAAATGTCTCATCAGCCGATTACATGGCCGCGACTGAATTTGGGCAGACCTGGCCGAGATGATCCTCTGAAGTTTAAATTGAGCATTAGAATGAGGAAGAACGATGATTTAAGGAACTTTAAATGTGTCATTGTTGATGGTGCGAGACATGCTGGTCTAAGCGTGTCAGAAACTGCTCATCTGCTGGGATTTTCCCACAAAAACATCTCTGCTGTTTAAAGAGAATGGTCTGAGATTTGGGTAAAAATGCCTCGTTTATGGCCTGACTGCTTTGAGCTAGCTGATTGAACGGCACCAAAGGCCACAGAAGAGCATCTCTGAACACACAGTACTGGACAACAATGGTTCCAGCTACTCCTGGTGCAAAGGTGTAGGGTACACTTTTTGAGCCTTTAGTACAATTTGGGCAACCCAATGACAGAAAAGAATAAGAATTTATGGTACATGAATTTGAGCGTCCCATATGAATCAAAAATTTAACTGTTTTGTATAAATTAATAAATTATGAACTTCATAACGTGCAACTGCACTGCCTAAACATCATCCAAGTCATCCATTAGCTAGTCTGTGGGCTTGATTAAAACAGAACTACGTTCAGCTCATCCACAGTGTAGCATTCCCAGTATGCTGACACAGGTTCATTCACTATGTGTAGGCTACAATCAGCTGCTCTTTATAGGATGCGGGGAATACACCCAACCTTTACAGCACCATCAAAAATGATGAAGTGTAACATTAACCTTAGCTTCCAACCTGATGATGACCGCCAACTGTCATAAAAGCCAGCTAGACTGAGAGTCTTCAGTAGAAATAGGAACCCTGCTGTAGTCTTTTTAAACGACTATGCTATCTGGATCATTGCTAACTGTGCATGTGTAGCCTGAGCAAAACATATGAAGCAGTTTGATTTAGCTAATAGCCAGTTAAGCACTGATTTAAGCTCCCCGCAGAAGAGAAAAGATGATCTCGCAGGAGTTTCACATTGAAGCCACCTGATCGTATTCGGAGCCAGCCTCCAGAAGGCTCTGCTGTATGGCAAACTGCAGCAGATCCTCCTCCTCCTCCCTCATGCTGTCTCTCTGTTTGCCTCCTAGCATGGTGTATCCAGGTGGGGCCTCAAACACACACGGGGGAATCTCACTGGCTCGACAGGACACTGCAGCACACGGGGGGGAAGGCAAAGGGCAAGAGATGGGAAGGAGTGTTATCTGGCAGTAAAGGAGGCTAAAGGAGAGGAGCGGAAAAATACAAGAGGTTTTTTTTCTGAGTAAAAGAAAGCACGAGGAGACTTAAACCCTTGAATTAACAGATATTGCACAAATTTACAAGTGTCAGCCTGTCACTCAGCAGAAGTTTGGGAGAAAGCAGACAAATCTGGCAGGAAACACTTCATATTTGCAGATTTACATGTGTCACCTATTGAGGCAAAACCTCAGTCTATTGACCCAAAGCCTGTAATAAAGTGTACTTTTGCACCTGACTATTTTCAGAGACATTAGCCACTAAATACTCACCAATGAATCATTCAAACTCAAAAACTCAAAGTATGAATCCGTGTTGTGTCTCACATAACAGTCAATAAGAACTAATTTTATATTGTAACATTAGACACTTTGTTACTAGGAGACTGGTCTCAGTGGTTGTAAGTGGGAAGAAAAGGCTGAGGTAAATTACACTTAGCATCAGTGGCAACGGGTCTTATGGAGTGATGAACCCAGATTTGAAATGTTTGCTTCAAATCATCATCAGTATGTCTGAAGAAGATCGAGAAAGAGGTACAGCCATCTGTAAAACATGATGTCATCATCTGGAGATTCATTTAAGTGGTGTTGGGATTCTTTCAAAAAGCATTTGATTGGCATAGCTTCATTTTTTTCAGCATGAAGGTCCCAAACACATTTCCAATGCAGTAAATACCTGGATAGAAAAACACACAATGTTGATCGTGCACTGGCGTCCCAAAGCCCAGACCTCAACATTACTGAGAGAGTGTGGGATCATCTTCACAGAAAAGAGCTTTAAATGTCCGACAAGAAGCCTGGAGAAGTATTCCTGAAGACTATGTGAAGAAACCTTCCTAAGAGAGTTCAGGCTGTGTTGAAGAATAAAGGTGATCACAGCAAATATTGACTTTGAAGCTCGTTGGAATTGTAAAAACTCTGTTATTTTTGTGCACGTGTCCATGCAAATCGCTGCACCTACTTCCCATTTTCCTAGAAACATATCAAGACATGAGGATTGCCTCAAGACATTTGCACAGTAATGTGTATTAGCTGAAATTTCCAAAGTGTATAATTAGAGTATTTGTAATTAACACCCAGCAAACACTGGTTAGTCAGAGGTGTTGTATCCCATTGCCAGAAATAGCAAAGTAAAGGCAGGCGGTTTCTATGTCAGATGCATTGGACTGGATGTTTTTTTAGGTTCAAAGTCAGGAGTGTGGCTGTATTAGTCACCACTGCTGTTTGCCTTACGCAGCAGCAGTATAACTGATAGATGCAGCTTCTGGGTTGGAACAATGAAGCCAATGCATACACGCCTGAAAACCTGCACTCTATCTAAAGGCCACCAGATGGCAACAGCTGTGGTTGCAAAAAAACCCAAAAACGTCCACTACTATAGAAGTCTGGGCGAAAACAGCTTCGTGCCCTGACCACTGCAAACACTTTCCTGATGAGTTTATGGGCTCAGTCACTAACTAAAAACTAAACGCTCACCTGGAAGACATCTAAAGGAGACTCCAGAGAATTACGTCATGGTAGTTACATCCAGTTTATATGCTGTCCAATAAAGCTACAGACATTAACGTAAAATATGTCACTATGCAGATAAACCAATGACTACAGTTTGTTATGATCTTCAAATCTGATAACTTGCTGCAGGATTACATGTCCCACGCAGGGGTGTGTCTAAAAGGGGGCATGTGGTGTACTCGGCTCAATTTAGTTCAACGATTTGGTGACAATATTTTGCAGACTTACATTATTAACACAAAATATACATATAATAAATTACACTGATGTTTAAAAAGAATATAACATTTTTTTGTGGAGCGGTAAAAGAAAAAGCTTCTACAGACATTCTACAGCTGAGGCGCTTACTGGTGGAACTAGAGCTGGAGACGCTGGACGAGTCGCTGCCCGGAGAAGGGGTGTCTGTCCTCGGGGTGTCCCTCTGTCTTTCGCCCTCCACCACCACTTCGTTGTCAGCACGGACACCGGCTCCCTCCTCACAGCCATTCAGGTTACTAAAGGTGATCCTGGCATTCAGGATGTGGTAGAGAGGGATCTCTGTAAGGAGAGGAGAGAAATTTCACCCCCATCCTCCAATAACACACATGTCCTTTATATCAGTTATTCTGTTTTTATGATTGATACATCTTATAAGTAATTTGGTCATTTCTTTACACCCTTTCTCTGCATGTCTTAACTTTCCATTAATCTGTGTGTCCATTTTCCAACCTTTCCATAACTGCGCCCTCCCCCTTTATTTAAACAGCACACATCTTAGCCCCCTCCCATCATGCGTCTCAATCTCACAGTGCTCACCAATCTTGACAGGGAAGCCAGGCGGCAAACGCAGAGTGATGAAGTCACGCAGCTTAGCGAACAGGGCGTTCGAGATCGCCATGAGATCGATGATAGGCACCACTTGTTCTGCCAGGGAAAGAGGGTGGGACTCACACAGCCACAACTTAGCTTTAAACCTGGGAACGAGCACACGTATGGGAAAAGAAAGAAGGCAGGAAGAAAGAGTTAATTAATAAATATCAGCAAATACATTTCTGACTAAAGCATAATTGAAGCAATTTATGCTCTTGCTCAGACAGTTAAATGTTTGCCCGGAGGAAGCTGCACAAAGACATTGATCACATCAGCTAACAGTGGCTGTCCACAAGCTGCTGAGTCGTTCTCAAACCGAGGCCGATCGATTCTCATATTCTAATTTGTCCAATGAATGAACACAAGATTGAGAGGCAGCTCTACAACCTCAGACCCGTCGTCCTCCTGATGTCCAGCAACTTTTCATTACCCGCTTGAAGAACGATGGTACTGGAAATGTCCGAAAGACCCAAAACACAGAGCAACAACCCCGATTTATGGGCAGCGGAATAACATCAGCTATGTTACAAAAAACACCTGAACACTCAGATCATTCTTTTATTTGCTTTTACTTTCCTCACTGAGTTCATATTTTCACTTCTTTTGCTTTTTGCTCCCTGAGTGACACAGAAAGCGTTCTTTCATTTCTTTTTTGTTTTGTTCCATTTGTTAATACGCTGGAGCGAAGATGATGTGCCATGAGTCATCGAGCCAGAGCTGAGTGATCGACTGCAGAAACCCACTAATTGCTCGACTCTCCACCAGCTTTGTAAAAACCTGACTGTTTGTCTGCCGCTGTCATCTGGCTGCCTTTCACCTCAGAAGCTCGGCGGTCAGCTGCTGCGGACGGCCGATTTTCCTCTGGGCTCTTCTCTGTCCATCATTTTGTCAGCTCTGACAACGACTCTGCGACTCAGGGCGACTGTGCTCTACGCATGGCTGAATGTTTGGTTTGTTTTTTTGTTTCTTTTTCCGTGGGCACGTGTCACCTCTGCGTCTTGGTTGTGAGCTGGCACGGGTGGCCGATATCCCTCTGAGTGGTCGTCGAGCTGGGGTTGAAGTATTCCTCGGCGGTCAGCGCAGCGGGGTTTGTCACCACGGGGGACGACATCTGGGTCACCAGAGCCTGGGCAAAGTGAGGAGTGAATAACATGAATTTACAAAAAAAAAGATCCAGCTATAACATGTCTCCGTATTAAAGATAGTGAAGCTTTTACAGCTGTAGAAAAACGACTCTGTTCGCAGGGATGCAAAGGACTATTAATCAATACCAGAGGCTTTTCAGACTCACTTTCTCTGCTATTCTCTACTCTGTAGAGATTTCAAGGCTTTCCTTTTACCTACTGGCATTTTTTAACAACTCTTTGAAGGAGTCGTGCTCAAGCCAGAAGTTGTGAAAAAATTGATAAAGCGGTTTCTTATTTCACTATTCATCATTACAGCGGCTGGCTCGCTGCATTAATAACTATCTCGGTGTGACGCATGACTAAACCTGTCAAAAGTAGGAACAGCCATTCCTGCTACGGGCAAACAAAGAGTTGTGAAACAGAAGAAGTTTACGGTTTGGCAAAATAGCCGATTTTGCTTTGCGGGTCTTTGCAGTGCTAAGCTACAAGCTCAGGATACATTCATTGTCTGTGCACCAATTTTATCTGTTGCCCAAAAGAACTTAATGGGAAATTCAATTTTTTTGGTGTGTGTGTGGATGATGGTGTGCAGAGGCGACAGGGAGGGGAAGCGAGTGAAGAGCCAGAATACAGAAATAGGAGAAGCAGGGAGGTATGAGTCATTGGTGCTCGGCAGCAGAAACAAATTAAAAAAACATAATCAATATCTGAGAGCGGTTTGGAGCCTCTGCTGTTGACACGGTCGACTCGACAGTCGGGATTCATACACTGCCTGACCATCCAAAGAGGAGGCGATCGAGTTGGGGGCGGGGTAACGCTAACACGAGAAGGTAGGAAATGTCCCTGAAAACAGCGATGACAGTCACAGCGCCGATTGCCGTTCATGTTTCACGTGACGATGTTCAAATCGAGTGTGTGCTCACCCCGTTATTAGGCCCCATGTGCTGTTCTGCAATCCCGAGGAAGTTCTGCAGTGGAGTCTTCCCACCTGCTCAGACACACAGCGGCAGCAACAAGTAAAAAAAGAAATGCACTTATATAATCACAGCACATCCATACAAACTACATGCTGTCCTGTTTGTTTTACACATTTACTTCAGATTACTGCACAGCCCTCTGTGTGGGCTCATTTATCGCCGCTGCAACTGTCCACAGTGTCATTTTGCTCTATAATGCTCTGCTCAGGATGCCTTATTGCATTACATGAAGCTTTTTGTAATGCACTCTTATCTACGAGGAGCCAGCATGAACCAAGGCAAGCCAGCTTAGGTGGTCTAGCCTAAATATCAGCAGATCTCACAGCAGAACCTGATACGTGAGTAATTACGGACTACAGCTGGACAACGAGAAGCCCTCAATCTCAACATTGTTCTTACTTTTCCTACTTCCACCTCTTGACTTGACCTTTTCCTGCTCTGAGGCTCTCTCACCCTGCTTTGCTATAGTTCATTAAATCATAGACATATTTCCCCCCCTCAGAAAAAAGTTCAATTCTTTATCTCATCCATGTAAGATGCCAGTTGAATAGCACTTCTTCAAGACGACGATTTTAGTGCTCCAATAAAAAAGAGAGCGAGGGCATCACTTTTGGAGATATGTCACCGTCATTATTCTGGGAAACAGGCACAGCAGTAATGGGAGAAAAAAAAAATCACATTTGTCACACAAATCAAAAGATAATACAAGAATCTTGAGAATATTTGAGGTCTTAACGGCCAATTCCTGCTACGGGACCACATGAGGCATTCGCTCATCACCCAAAATCCAGTCTAAGACATTCAACATGCTTGTCAAACTTTAAAGCACATTTATTGTAGATGCCTGTGTTCCCTTTTCCCCACTCTATTGTCATCTCAGACCGGCCCTGTCAGCATGTGGGGTGAAGTGGAATCATCTTTTTTTGGCTTAGGAAGGTTCCTAACTGGGTGAAATGACCTGGTGTCCAAATGACACCCACTTCTATATACTGGCACCTAATTTAGCTGTTTCCTGCAGAGTCTCAACACTGGCATCTTACAATGGATTTAGAAAAGTTGTTGATTATCATCCCAAACCATAGACTGGGTCAAAATAATTTGTTTTCCTCTGAGAGTGTGTTTGCAGCCCACACACTGTCAGTGAGCTTGTTCACGCTGCACTTTGGGTAGGAGTGGCACTTATTTCCACATCACCTGGACTTGCAAATGAGGTCACTTCACTTTCGGTGGTGGTGACTAAGAAAACCCTCCCCTATCTTGAGCTGCATCGTTTCCATGACATCACGATGTGCTCCTAGACATCACACAGGTGGAAACTTGTCCCTCTCCTGACTAACTATTGAGGAAACAGTGCTTCAAAAATGATGAGTGACGCACCAAAAAACCTTTTCAGTTATCCATACACAGGCAACTTTTTATGATTACATGGGTTTAAAAAATTGTTCTATTATTTTACATTTGATTTACATAGTACTAAATCACAACATCAGTTACCTCAAGGGGCTTCGTATGTAAGGCAAAGAGCCCAGAATAATACAGAGGAAACCCCAACAATCAGATGACTCCCTATAAGCAAGTGCTTGATGACAGTGAGGAGGAAAAACTCACTTTTAACAGGACAACACCTCTGAGGGCTCTGCTTCCCATTCTACCCCAGAAACAACACAAGCCAGCAGTCTGAGAGTTAAGTGCTCTACTGGGGCGATGTGGTACTTGGAGGCCTTTAAGATATGGTGTGTCCTTGTATGTAAATGGACTTCGCATACAGACAAATGAGGATAAAGATTTGGCTTCACATCAAACTTCTTTCTTAAACAATGAGAATAAACAACTAAATAAGGTGGAAACATCTAAATTAATTCTGATTCTAATGGTTCAAGTCCCGTCTACTTTCAAAAGCTGTATATTGCAAAATACAGTGGGGCAAAAAAGTATTTAGTCAGCCACCGATTGTGCAAGTTCCCCCACCTAAAATGATGACAGAGGTCAGTAATTTGCACCAGAGGTACACTTCAACTGTGAGAGACAGAATGTGAAAAAAATCCATGAATCCACATGGTAGGATTTGTAAAGAATTTATCCGTAAATCAGGGTGGAAAATAAGTATTTGGTCACCTCAAACATGGAAAATCTCTGGCTCTCACAGACCTGTAACGTCTTCTGTAAGACGCTTTTCTGTCCCCCACTCGTTACCTGTATGAATGGCACCTGTTTGAACTCATCATCTGTATAAAAGACACCTGTCCACAGCCTCAAACAGTCAGACTCCAAACTCCGCCATGGCCAAGACCAAAGAGCTTTTGAAGGACACCAGGAAAAGTATTGTAGACCTGCACCAGACTGGGAAGAGTGAATCTACAATAGGCAAGGAGCTTGGTGTGAAAAAATCAACTGTGGGAGCAATCATCAGAAAATGGAAGACATACAAGACCACTGATAATCTCCCTCGATCTGGGGCTCCACGCAAGATCTCATCCCGTGGGGTCAAAGTGATCATGAGAACGGTGAGCAAAGATCCCAGAACCACAAGGGGGGACCTGGTGAATGACCTGCAGAGAGCTGGGACCAAAGTAACAAAGGTCACCATCAGTAACACACTACAACGGCAGGGAATCAAATCCCGCAGTGCCAGACGTGTTCCGCTGCTGAAGCCAGTGCATGTCCAGGCCCGTCTGAAGTTTGCCAGAGAGCACATGGATGATACAGCAGAGGATTGGGAGAATGTCATGTGGTCAGATGAAACCAAAGTAGAACTTTTTGGTATAAACTCAACTCGTCGTGTTTGGAGGACGAAGAATACTGAGTTGCATCCCAAGAACACCATACCTACTGTGAAGCATGGGGGTGGAAACATCATGCTATGGGGCTGTTTTTCTGCCAAGGGGACAGGACGACTGATCCGTGTTAAGGACAGAATGAATGGGGCCATGTATCGTGAGATTTTGAGCCAAAACCTCCTTCCATCAGTGAGAACTTTGAAGATGAAACGAGGCTGGGTCTTCCAACATGACAATGATCCAAAACACACCGCCCGGGCAACAAAGGAGTGGCTCCGTAAGAAGCATTTGAAAGTCCTGGAGTGGCCTAGCCAGTCTCCAGACCTCAACCCCATAGAAAATCTGTGGCGGGAGTTGAAAGTCCGTGTTGCTCGGCGACAGCCCCAAAACATCACTGCTCTCGAGAAGATCTGCATGGAGGAATGGGCCAAAATACCAGCTACTGTGTGTGCAAACCTGGTAAAGACCTATAGTAAACGTTTGACCTCTGTTATTGCCAACAAAGGTTATGTTACAAAGTATTGAGTTGTATTTTTGTTATTGACCAAATACTTATTTTCCACCCTGATTTACGAATAAATTCTTTACAAATCCTACCATGTGGATTCATGGATTTTTTTTTCACATTCTGTCTCTCACAGTTGAAGTGTACCTCTGGTGCAAACTACTGACCTCTGTCATCATTTTAGGTGGGGGAACTTGCACAATCGGTGGCTGACTAAATACTTTTTTGCCCCACTGTACCAAAAGTGAAATCTGCAATCATAAACTCCAGGATCATTCCTAAAATTAGACATCGAGGGGTTTAAAAGATCCACAGTGGAGAAACTCAAAAGCTGCTTTTCATTTAGATCTGAGCACCCAAAAAAAAAAGTGAGCAGCTTGATAGTGTGTGGTTTGGACGTGGTGGTGTGGTTCGTCTTTATCAAACCAGAAATTGAATAAGTACTAAAAGCAGAGCAAAGGTCCATCACTATATTGTGGTTTTTAAAGCACCGATCTACATTTCAGCCTTTGGTCATCTAATCTGTCTACAGCTGCTGATGATACAGTGTGTGCCTCTTCTAGGATATATAGGAGCACTTAAAGGTTTGTTTTTTAAATTCTTAACAGCGTTAACAAAATGATGAAAAGTAGCTCGAGGAAATGGGCAAATGGACCGAGTCACTCATTCAGGAGTCAGTGTAGCGTCTCTGAGAACACTTTCCTCGTGCATATTAGCAGAGCGCAGATGGGGATTGTGACCTGGGAGAGAGGAGCTCTCTCAGAAGAGCGTGTGATGGTTGATCCTGGCTGACAGCGACGGTCCAGGGAGAGAGGGAAACCTGCTAATCCTGTTTGATTTATGATGTGAACCAGAAAATGAGACGGAGCCACCGAGAGAACTTTACGGGCTGTTAGCTGCAGCCTCGGGGTGATCTCATCGAGCTCAGGTGAGAGGGATTAGTCATCGGTGACTCTTCTATCGGACGTGTTTCGGCACTTGGACTGCGGGTTACAACGGCGCGGAGGACGTAATGGAGAGATTCAGCTGTAGGGGAACAAAAAAGGCGTGACGACATCCTGATGAAGTGACTTACCTTTTATCTTGTTCTTGTTCTGGTCTGACAGATGGTCGGTTCTGGTCCTGGTAATCAGCTCAACATTGGATGCTGCATACACCTGAAAGAGGAAGACACATAACTCCTTTTTTCTGTTCACGCACACTTTACCACCTCATAGCTGTAGCAATAATTCCAAAAACAACTTGTCACCATACAAGCTATAAAGCAAAACCAAAACCCTTAAAGCCGCGATTTTTGTGCACCCTAGTTGCTAGTCTGCAGTCCGACTAGTCCACAGCAAAATGCAGGAATTCCTCAACAGTGACCATAAAAATCAGGCGCTGATTAAATATTGAGCAGGCTGCTGATACTGAGTTTACACTGACTACACACGACTGAAATAAAGAACTAAAAGCTTCCAGGGGTAGAGCAGTTCTGTATGCGTTGTCTGTTTATGTTTGCGACTCTAAATCAATGAAGCAGAAAATAGACAGCAGTATTTTACTGTAGAGCCCATCTGAAGGGCTTTTAAACCCACCGGTGACAGATGGCCCGGTAGTCTGACACTTGCCACCCATTGATCCCTCGAGGGGGACAAAGAAAACAAATGGGGTCAAGGTAACATGGTAATGTATTTTTTTTTTTTTACTTGATTTGAGAGGCCATCTGGTCTTTTAGGTGCTGCTGAATCTTGATCGATGGGTTTTTTTTAAAGCATGAAACAACTCTGGATTTTATCCATTCAGGAAATGAAATCCTTCAAGTTAAGTGAACTTTCATGGAATATCAAACTGAATATCAAATATCAAACGGTGGCTGGGCTTTCTCTGGACAGTGCGAGAGATAAGCGAGCCGCTTACCTTTGCTTCATATCCATTCACCGTCTCGGTCTTCTCGCTCCTCCATCCCAGGATGCCCGTCTTGTTCCTGCAACACAGTTTCAGCACATCCCAGGTCATCTCTCTCACGTCTCAAAGCCATAATAAAGCAAGTTCGGTTCCATCTAAGCTCAAGGACACAGTACCCAGGAGAGCTTCCTCTCCTCTCACAGTACCCAGGAGAGGAAGCTCTCCTGGGTACTGTGAGAGGAGAGGAAGCTCAAAAAAACCAAGTTTTCTCACAAGAGGAATCCTGAAGACGCTGGCCTTGTTTGTCACCAGTGAAGACGAGCAGTTCAGTGTGCAATTAGCAAACCTGCCAGAAGTCAGCGAGCAATATTGCATCTTCGTGATTTATTCGTGCCACTAAATTCCTCAAAGCTCAAAAACTCACTTTTCAAGGCTGGTTAATCCAATCATTTCAGCTCTTAAGTTTATTAGTGAAACAATATCAGATTTATTTATTTTTTTATTTTATCAGTGACATTTGGGAGAATTCTCCTAAGGGTTGTTACTCAAAAAGCTGTCACACCTGTCTCCCATCCTACTTTGTTTAGATTTTCGTCAACAACAACTGTACGGGCTGTTTGGAAATTTGCTCCTCTGTGGATAAGCTGTTATAATTATCAAAAGATTTAGTTTAATGGAAAATACTGGCAATCTCACAAGCCTGAACTGTACTTTGCAAAATGTTAGCATGCTAAATAGTATAAACAAGGCCAGAACTACTAAAAAAACAAACTAGCATTGTTCTGTTTAAGTGATACATCACAGACTAACTTGCAGCCTGTTGCATTTTTGTAAATGATTGTTGGCCAAACAGACCCCAAGAGGACCGGCGCTAAACACGAATGCAAACGACTGCCAAGGCATACGATAATCTTCCATCCACTTCTCAAGGTAGTTTATCTTATATATACACCGAAGTAACGGAAAAATATGTCTTTCAAGCTAATATACACTACAGTCCTTTTATGTCCCTTGGCAAGTGGCACATGAATTTGTCTCAATCAGGGAAAGTCTGTAGCCTAAGCATACCGTTTCCTCTGCTAGCCAGCTGTCAAGGTCCTTGTCATGGGTTCCCAAAACTTTGAATCCAACTTTTAAAACAGTAAAACTGCAGCGCTGTATTTTTTGTGTGCAAAGTTGCGTAGAGACGTAATAACTCCAGAGCTTTGAGGTGTCCCTGTCTAGGATGCTTGACGAAGCGGTTTGCTGTAAAGCATCCCAAATACATTACTGGACAGGAATGCTGACGGAGCAAAATGCACAGAGGTGACACCGAGGTGCAAGTCTGACAGTGAGATAATTACCCCACCCCAACCTCTCCTCGCTCAATTCTTGGAGTCATTCGTCTCTCTGCCTTCTTTCTCACTTTTAATCTGTTAACATTCACTTCCTGCCGCCGCTGCCTTTCCATCACTCGCCTATCTATCACCGTCTTCCTCTTTTTCCCCTCCTGCCACAAAAAAAGATCAAATATCTCTTTCTTCTGGCTTCTGTATTGTGCTTTCCCGCCCACAGCCTTGCTACCCGTTCATCTTTCCCTCCATTTTTCTTATTGTGTGCCTTCCCCTCATACCTCCACGTCCCAGCGTTAGTTCTGTCCCTCGCTCTCATTCCTTTTTTGTTTCATCTCTTTACATTTTCTCTTCTCCATCCCTCTCTGTCCAAACAAAACTCCCTCTTCCGTTACCCCCGTCCTTTCCTCATCAGTCTTATCTCTCCAACCAACCAGAATAGGATGAATTTTGTCCTCCATGACCCCCCCTGCCTCCCGCCTGCTCGGTCCACTCTTCTCTCCACCTTATGCCCGGCCTGTCTCTTGTCCAAGTCTTTTTGTCTTTTCCCACCACTGCATTTTACTTGTTTTACAGGCGCCCCCAGCTCGATTCAGGCAGCCAGAAGCTAATTTGTTCCTTCACATCAAGCGTAGTCCTGCAAATTTATTTGGGCACTTTTTGCCTTTTGAGGTTACACAGAGACAGAAAGGATGAAGAAGCGAGTAGTTAAATTAAAATACAATGATTACTATTGACCCAGTGTGACTGCAACTGGATTACAAGACAGCTGCTGCTATTTGAACATTGTTTTTACTTCTTTCAAAAGCTCTACAGTCTTACTTTAAACTACAGCGGGATTTTAGAATAACTATTTTAATGCACTTTTTTGATAGGAACACATTCCCAGATTTTTGGATACAATATTCCAAAAATATGTGCTCTTCAATGAAATTTAACAGTTTGTTCTATGCGACTTTTTCTTGTGTCCATTTCCTCCCACTGCTGCAGCTTTGGTTTGTATTTTCCTACACTTTGTGAAATGCATTTTGACAGCCACCAGAGAACGTGCCTGAACTTGTTCCACTCAGCTGTGGGTTGCAGTGTAGGAGGCAGCAACAGAGAAACGCTGACAGAAATTCAACTCTAACAACAAAAGAGTGATTTTTCTCCACTGGGGAAAAAACAAAACAAAGCAAAAAAAAAAAAGAACAGCAGATTAATGGAGCAAGTCCTGTGGCTGAGCTAAAGCTATTTATTAGCTTTGATTTTTCACATCCTGTATATTTTTGTTCAGTACATAGCAGTATTTTTTCTGACCTCTCGAACGCGATGTTGCGGGTGTCCAGCTGCGTGGTCACCACTGGGGCAGACAGCCGGGCCGCTACCTGCTCGTCAGTGGGCTGCATTACTCCCAGAAGGCCCAACCCAGCTGTGGTGCTGCTGCAGGCACCACCCTTCCCCCTGCCCGGCGAGAGCGCTGTGAGGGATGACACGCACAAGGTCTCACGGAACACCAGCTGCCTGTCGTGGTCGACCTCCATCACCTCTGCGCTGGAGTCTGAGAGAAAGACAGGGAGAGAAGGGAAGAGAAAAGTTGAGAGCTTTTCAGTGAGGTGAGAAAGTCCACAAATCTGTGATGCTTAGACAGACAGACAGACAGACAGATACCTGCCTGATACCAAGTCAATACAGGGCCAGTATTGCTGATACCAATATCAATACTGATACTTATAACTTATAAAGGGAGCTCATGAAGGGGAGACCAGTGTGTCATGATTTATGAGCTAAATCATCATCAACAGTTCAGTGAGCTACGTACTGAACTTGGAGGATAGAAATAAGTATCAATCCTACTGTGCTACATACCATTACCAACGCTGGTAAACACACGATCGATTATTGGATCGATCCCCCATCTCTACTTCCCACTACGGGAGATTTAAAGGATACATATTGGAGATAAATTTAGGAAACACAGTTATCGTCTTGGTTTATGAGAATCATTTGAAATCAATACCAGCTTCATGCCTTTGTGATCAATAAAGCCACAGGAAGCAGCGAGTTGGCTTAGCTTAGCACAAAAACAGGAGGAAACAGCTAGCTTTGCGCTCTACTCATTTTGATATTAAACCGTGTTTGTTTCACTTGTGCAAATAATTCTCAGCAAAAACGCAACGAAAGAAAAATGCTAATTGAATTGTGCTTTTGTTGTTCTCACGTCGCCCAGTTTCATCTGTCTTTCACCTCCATTTTTAAATATCAGCACTAGTCAGTGTGGTTTTCTTTGAATGCATTTTGACACACTGCGTGCACCTCACACAGAGCGAGCCAGTCGAGCTCAAACTCTCACCCTGTCCCTTGAAAATGAAGCTCCGGTTTCCTCTCTGCCAGGTCATCTGTTCAAATCCCATCAGGGTGGTGTCAACACGGAGACACTGACCACTCTTCCAAACTCTGTATGTGTCACTGGGGCAGATGCGAGACACCAGGGGCACTAAGGACGAATACAGACACTCTTTGACTCAAACCATGCTGAGCTAGGTCTCAGTTTTCTTTTTTGCATTTGAATTTTTTAAATTTAAGCCATTCTAACCTACACATACAATACAAATGCTTTTCTGACATGCAACTGAAAACAGGTGTCTTTAGCCTAAGAGGCAGATAAAATTAATAGATCTGACTGGTTGGTACTGGCTTTTACTGGATCACTGGACACAAGGACTGGACTCACCCCAGCTGGTAAACTCCCATTTCATCTCCACATAGAAGTCTTGGGCCTGCTTAGGGTGGAGGAGGAGAGCAGAGACAGACAGAGAAAGGAATAAAAATGAGAAAACACTGAGCATCGATAAAGAGGAAGATACGGAGGGAGAGTTGTGGAGAGTGATGAAGTTAAAGATTAACAGACAGAGGGAGGAGAATACCGATGTGCAGGAGGAGAGAAAAAAAAAAGTAAAGCAAATAAATGCAGCAGGGATGTCTGTGCCAAAGATGATGGGACTGGAAACTGGAAATGTCTGCATATGTGTGTGTGTGTGTTAATAATAGAAGTGATGGATGGAGGGATGGAGAGGACAATAATGTGGGTGAGAGCAGCGGCAGATGAAGAAGGATGAGATGTGTGTAACGCTCGCGGGTTCGTGTGCGAGTGCGTTTGAGTGCCAGTGCTCCTTGCTGTTTTCACAGTGTGAGGGTGTTGTGTGTATCAGGGAGCCGGCAGGAGCAGATACACAGGAAGTCAGACAGTTTGGAGGCACATCCCTGCATCGCTGTCACTGTTTTGTGCAACAGCTCCAACACAATCTGCTGCTGCAGGCTTCTAACCATTAACCTCCTGTACGGGCAGCCTCGGCATGTCCATCACTGCTTTTTTGCCTTCAAACAGGGCAATCCTGAGGTCCTTAGGGAACAGCTATGAGTCAGATTAGAGGGAGAGAGCGCTTTGCAACATGGAGACATATCCTTTGAGTGTATCGCCCTTGTTAAAGAAAGCTATTAATACCTTCAGAAAGGATCTCGTGGGAAAAGCAAATTTGCATGTAAATTTGAAAAAGACTTATTTACATTTCAAATGCATTTATAGCTTCCATATTTATCACCCACATGGCTTGCACACTTATTTCATGAACCTGTGCACTACAGCGCGTGTGTGTGCTTATGGGTGCTTGTGTGAAATCGCACTTGGCGCAGTCGCTCCAGCAGGACGGGGATGCCCGCCAGTCTCTTGGCAGTCCTCTGGTAGTCACGGTAACGAAGCACGAGACGCACCAGCTCCGGATCTCTGGTACTCACCGCCTCCTGAAGAACTGAGAGGGAGAGTAAAACAGAACCAGTCACTCAGGCTTCATCTAAAATTTATGTACATGAACAATTTAAAGGGGGCAGCGAGAACTGCCAAAACTGAAGTGGGCCAAAGGAGAAGCTGGAACCACCAATTACTGCGTCTCACCCATCATTGATCAGCTGTCCTTACACTTGAACAGCACACTTTGTGAGTTGAACTATCACACACACGCTATATTATCTGGTGTGTGTATTTGTGTGACATTTTAAAGATGCAACGATCACACAGGCATGATGCTTGTTTGGTTATCATGCTGATATAACGTCTTCCTTTGTTTCACACAGCCAGGCAAATAATGCAATGGAGAACTGCTCTTGGTAGCATTAGTTTCACATTTACAACTAGAAGAGCAGCTCTATTTTCTGGCCTAATGTAAAAAAAAAAAGAAGAAGCAGTTTTACTAGTGTGGTATGCGTGAAACTTACTCTTGACAGGGCTACCACTGTGAGGGTAAGTGAGCAGGTAAAGGTAAACAAAATATATGGACTCAGTATTTTTCAACTATTGATTCATTGAAATAACTTAGATTCAGTGCACTGCACTTAAATCATCAACGTCAGGGGAGAAAAGCCACAAAAAAGAGAGGAGATGACAGCAAAAACAAGAAACTTAAGGTGAGATCATATTTTGGGCACAAATGGAAAAATAAAAGTTACAAAAAAGAACTGATTTCAAACTCCATTATCTTCCCACTGCAAGAGCACAAAACCAAATTTTAAATGTGCCAGCAGAGATGAGATTTTGGTTTTCATTTTCCAAACAAAAAAGGTGTACAAAGATGTACGATAAAATGTATTATAAGGTCACTAAGTTTCCAAAATGTACCACCACCCTCCAGATACAGCTTATGCATGCTGTGCACTGCTCGCATTACCACAAATAAACTCCACACAGCATGTGCACTCACTCACCTGTCCATCCGTTGCGGTTCTCCTTGCTAACGTCAGCGCCGTGCTGCAGCAGGACCCTGGCGCAGTCCAGGTGGCCCAGCGTGACAGCGAGGTGAAGAGGAGTACGACCGCGAGGGTCCAGAGACTCTAAATCGGTCTGGATGCAAAAATAGAAGGCGGAGGAAGATGTTAAAATCCTAAATGTATAAATTAAGAAGGATCTATTTGAGTAGGAATTGGGGTTACTTGTGTATCAATGTAATGCTCTTGTGGCTCAGATAGAGGAGTGGCAACAGAAAAACATATAATAGAGACACAACTGTGCCGGTAGCAGCAGAAAGATGCGGGGAGAGACAGGTGCTAATTGATCTGTCACCACTCCTACATGGCTGGGCACTACACTTCTGTACTCCACTTATTTTCTGGGCTGGATGTGTTGGGTTTGGGTAAACATAGAGTGTACTACCTGCTTTGTTAAACAGGCCTCTGGACACACAAACACAGCCACAAACACACGTATCACACAACATTTTATGTGTTATACTGTCTGCTGCTCCTGAACACTTGAAAAATAAAGTTTCAGAGAGTGTTCCAGTATGAGTCTTGGTGAAAAAAAAAACATGTGGGCAGGTAACAGAAATAAGCGTCTCTTTTCAACCTGCTGTGCAATTAAGCAAAAATATATAACCTACAGCCTCTTTGTCACCAAAAATACACTTTTTTTTTCTTAGTAAGCTTTTACAGCTTGAGGCTACACTTCAGCTCTCAGCTCTCCACTCTGAATTTAGAAGCATGTCAACAAGGCCTCATTAGGCAGCCATACTACATTAGTGTTAATCTTTTCACATCAATCATACCAGTGCTTTGATACAGAAAATTAAAAGGCAGGAGGCTTTTAAAGCCCTCAAATGTGAAAAGTGTGGTAGAAAGCAACTGCCAGTTTTAGATGCTCACAAGGCTAGCTCGCTGCAGCCTCTGCTATTTGGTACAGCTTTCAAACAAACAAATAAAGTGTTCCTGGAGTAAGAAGTAGGAAGTGTTACCTGCTTTATCAAGTCCCGAAACAAGCCTTGTGCCTAAATACACCCATCTGTGTTCCGGGTGATAGGTTATTTACATCACTTCTCCTTCCCCTTTGGCTTAATCATTTTTTCCCTGCCTCCTTTGACTCAATCTGCCTCTCTTCTATCATTTTGTCTTTCAGACTGTCATTTGTTCAGCCCACCTCCTCCCCATCTTCTCATGCTGGCCATCCTCGTACAAGTCTTGACCACCAGAATCTAGACTCTATACTTTGATAAATCATGTTCAGTTCTTCCAAATGAGCTCTGCCTTTGAAATAATAATAATAAAAAAATCCCCACACATTTATGGCTTTCTTGACAAGTGTTAGGAGTAGAAAAGGTTACCCCTCAGCCTCCTGGAAGATGGTATCAGTTTAAAAATCCTTCATCGCTTTGTTCTCAAGTTTTAGCATTCACAAGATTTTCAGAATACTCGACCTCTGACCTTGGGGTCAAGGTCAGAGGTCAACTAGATGTGAAAAAACATTTAAATTAACTAAAATAAAAATAAAAAACAGAGTTTTGAAACAAAAAAATGAAAAGAGTTTGTGAACTTGAAAAAGTAATATGCTTAGTTTTAATATTTGTTAGTTTGGTAAAAGTAGCTACTACTCTGTGAGTAGATCGGGGTTGCCATTACTTATCTTTTGATAATGTGTGTGTGCTGGAGGTACACTAACAGGCCTGTCTAAGGGTATAAATGACATTAAGTAATAATAATAATAATAATAATACATTTTATTTAAATAGCGCCTTTCAAAGCACCCAAGGACACTGTACAACAGATAAAAACTGGAAATATACACAATGATAAAAATAGAAGATAAAAGTTAAAACATACAGAAATTTAAGAATAGGCAATTTTAAACAGATGAGTTTTGAGGGTGGACTTAAAAAGAGAGAATGAACTAATATTTGAGGTCCGGGGGTAGGGAATTCCAAAGTCGAGGGGCAGAGCAGCTAAAGGCCCTCCCTCCCATTGTGATCAGACGAGCAGAGGGAACAGAGAGAGAAAGAGAAGATGAAGATCTGAGGCAGCGGGATGGGAGCTTCATCTGTAATAAGTCAGAGAGGTACGGTGGAGAGAGAGAATGAATAGCCTTGAATGTATACAGAATTATTTTAAAATGGATGCGAAATTTGACCGGGAGCCAGTGAAGTTGCTTCAGGATTGGGGAGATGTGGTGGGTAGAAGAAGTCCTAGTAATAATACGGGCAGCAGAGTTCTGGACACGTTGGAGCTTGTTGATAGATTTTTGTGTAAGGCCAAATAATAATGAGTTGCAGTAGTCAATTCTAGAGATAACAAGATTATGGATGAGAATGGCAGTGGCGTGAGGTGTGAGGAAGGGGCGGAGGCGATTAATGTTACGGAGTTGGAAATATGCTGCACGTGTAATATTGTTGATATGTGAGTTAAAGGATAATGTGCTATCGAGAATGACACCCAAGCTTTTCACAGAGGGAGAGATAGGGACCAGCGAGTTATTGATGGTGAGAGAGAAATTGTTAATTCTGGATAGCAGTCGTTTAGTGCCAACCAGAAGAAGTTCCGATTTATTGCTGTTGAGTTTAAGAAAGTTGGAGGAGAACCAAGAATTAAGTTCAGCTAGACAGAGGATGAGGGAGGGTGGAGGAAGAGTAGAGTCAGGTTTGGTAGAGAGATAGAGCTGGGTGTCATCGGCGTAGCAGTGGAACTGAATATTATATTTACGAAAAATATGTCCGAGTGGAAGAAGGTAGATGATGAAAAGAAGGGGCCCGAGGACAGATCCCTGGGGCACCCCAGTGGATAAAGGAGAAAGCTGAGAGGTGAAGGATTTTAATTGAATGAACTGAGTGCGGTCAGATAGGTATGATTTAAACCAGGCTAGTGGAGTGTGAGAGAGACCAATAGAAGCTAATCTGCTAAGGAGAATGGGATGAGAGATGGTGTCAAAAGCTGCACTCAGATCAAGAAGGATAAGGATGGAGAGGAGACCAGAATCAGCTGCTATAAGAAGGTCGTTTGTTATTTTTATAAGAGCAGTTTCAGTGCTATGTAGAGGACGAAAGCCAGACTGGAACTGTTCGTAAAGGTTATTATCAGTTAGGTGAAGATGGACTTGTGAAGCAACTATTTTTTCAAGGATTTTTGAGAGAAATGGTAGATTGGAGATAGGACGAAAATTATTAAAGTTGTTGGGATCTAGACCAGTTTTTTTCAGAATTGGGGTAATAGCAGCAACTTTGAAGGAAGCAGGAACAGTTCCAGTGGTGAGTGAAGAGTGAATAATAGCAGATATGAGGGGAAGGAGAGGGAGTAAGCAGGCTTTGACGAGGACAGTGGGGATAGGATCGAGCTGGCAGGTAGAAGGCTTTGATTTATGGATGAGATCAGCAATATCAGCTAAGGATGGAAGTTGAAAAACAGAGAGGAAGTGAGAAGGGGGAGAAGTTAGGACAGAGAAGCTACATTGAGCATTAGGGTCCAGGTCTAAGTGTATTTTATGAATTTTATCAATAAAGAATAACATTAGAGCATCACAGAAGTTAGATGAATAGAGATGAGTGTATCATAATCCTGGTTTGTTGCTTGCAGCTGTAAGTAGGAGTCTTTCCTCTGAGTTTACTAAAAGCTGCAGCCTCTCAGTGTTACCTACAGGGTTTAGTATTTCCCACTGTTAAATATTTGCACATAATTTGCAAACGTGGAACATCCCACAGTGGTAAATCCCAAAGTTTTTATTTATCCACTTATTTATTTTTTACACCCAGGAAGGTAAGCTGTCACAAACACAGAGTTTTACATTTATATCTACTGCTCTGGAGGAAACTGTCCGTCCCTCTCATAGAACATCCCCCTTTTTTCTTACAGTGTTACTCCTTCAGCAGTTTTTACCGCACTGATCTTAGATCTGCCACCTAATTAAACAGAGCTGCTGATGCCCCATTTATCCACGGCCTTGGCAGATCCAAGGTCAGTTCAGGCAGTCTGCTGTGAGCTTGAATTTTAATTAAGGATTACTCTTGGACGTAAGAGCAGCATGTCTTGGAATCAGCACTTTCATAAAGACATTAAAGAGGCTATGAAAAAAAATCTTTCCAGGAATAAAAAAAAAAAAAAAAGTGAGTGTTGTTGTTATGGTGTAATTATATGTAATAGTAATACTGTGACGCTGTGCAGATCAAACCTAGGATAGTTCAAGACACTTACTAATCTAGAGCAGTGGAAAGAGTAAATGTGTTCAAGGAAATTTTTTGAGCAATGAATGAGGAAGCTGCCATTGATACTGCACTTGATGGATGATGTCAGAATAGAATATGATCCAAAGGAAGTCCAACACAGTCTAACTGCAGTTTCTGAGAAACGCACACTGTGAGCTTAGATGGGAAGTCAGTGGTTACATTAGCAATCAGTTACTGCGGCTCTCTGTTTGTCCTATTTGCAAGGGAAATGAAGAAAACCTGCAAACACAAATGTGGAGGGGCGGGGGAGATAGCAAGAGACACAAAGTCGCCAACAAGTAAAAAAAAAAAGACAAGTGTAATTACATGCTTTTAAAATGGTTTTGTTATGTGCTGGATTGAGTTTAGTAAAGCATAACTCAATAATAAGAATATGATACCATGGCTTCAGCCTGTTAATGGGTGGTCTATCTGCGCGATCTCTACATCTTTGCTTAACAGCTCTATGCGCTCTCCACAGCTCTTCCAAAAGCAACTCAGTAGAGAAAGAGTGGGAGATAAAGAGAAGGACACAAATAACGTGGGCAGAGAAATTTCTGTAGCAAGAGAAAGCCTGTCGGCAAAACTTTAACTAAGACAGGGGAGGACAGGGAGCGAGCTGAAGAGAAAGAAAGAGTAATGACGGCTCTCGCGAGTTACGGTGACACCAAACGAAGACGCGGGAGGAGGTGAGGACTGGAGAACAGGAGGGGAACGAGCGTTAGGAGGGAGACAACAACATGAGGGAGTCCCTCAGGAGCTGTGTAGGCTGGAGAATATAGGAAGCGTGCGAGGGGTGGATTATCACAGAAAAACATGGCGGAAAAAAGAGAGCAGTCAGCTTTGTTTTTGCGTGTGCTGAATAACGAACTGTGCATCATGCAAA